GATTATTAAATTGTGTGGTTTCACGTTTCCCCAGTTTGTATATTAATTTGGATCACATAGACAATTTCATGGGTGATGCTTTCATGACTTTATCTTTGATCGTCGTATGTTTCAAAGAACCGCATATTTTAACAAGATGCATACATGTTATTGGCATAAGGGATATGGCAATGATGAAATTTGCAAGCTTCGAAAGGTAATGGAACAAATAATATGACAAAGTTTTTATAATACCCATAAATGAGTTGTATAGAAATAATTATTTTGCTGACAGGATAATGAATATAAATCAATAGACGAATCAACTAGACTAGTGATAATAATTTTCTACAGTGCTTTGTGAATTTAGGAACTGTTTGTTACAGTGTTTTTCAACTAGTGAAAATTAACGTGTTGAGTGTAAGATTTGTGTCAATGTGTTTGTACTTGGCAAGTGTGCTGTTTCAATTGTTCGTCTACTGTTGGTACGGGAACGAAGTCATCCTGAAGGTAATATTATTTAATACCAGCACTTACGTAACAAAGTTCACTTACAGCAATAAATTACGACAGAGCACAAGATAATTAAATTACATATTGGGAAAATCGAATTACAGAGTACGGAGATAAAAGATGCTATTTTCCAAAGTAATTGGGGTTGTCTGAAAAGTTCAACTAAAAGGAATTTTATCATTGTCATGATTCAAGCTCAGCGAGCAATTGAATTTACCAGTGGATATGTTATTACCTTGTCACTCGAATCTTATGTAGCTGTGGGTATCAATCAAGTTTAACGAGCGCTTTAAAACTGTTTGAAATACATTATTCCTTTCAAATCTTAAAAGCGTTGTACTCGGTATATAATGTACTAAAATAGCAAGGATACTAGTAATCCAAAAATTTAAAATCATTGTCAATTAATGTAATACTATTTAAAGGTGTCTTAGTACACATAGAACTGATGATTGATTGATTTATCCCAAGAACAGCAGTTCTTCCCCTGCTTGGGAACTAACAATTCTCCCATGACAGATCAATATCGCCCAAGTCTCCCTAGTTTTTTTTCTTTCTTCAATACTTATTTCCCTCCCTTACAAAGTAGAAAAAGTTATAAATGTTGAAAAATATCTTGTTGCATTCTTTAGCCCATAATGATAGTACCAAGTGCTTGTTCCGCAACAAATGATACCTCTGGTGCGCCTTTACCGCTGAGACAAAAGAATATTCGATACACAACTTACGTCTCTACTCACCTCCCCCCAATGAGGGATGATCACTCACTTGAATTGACCGTCTTGCGATGCACACCCTCCCTTTGAGTTTCACTTTCTTTACCCTCTGTGGGGGCAGGATGCCAATCAATTTTCTACTTTGCTCGAGATATGCTTTCAATTGTTATACTGCATTTATCGTCTTCTTTATATTCACCTACGCCATGTCCGTAATAAATGATCCTCTAATGAGCTCTGCTGGTGTTGAGGACTTTACGAGCAACGGCAATATATATTCTTCTGGACTTTGGAATGTTCTGGAAATTCGTGGAGACCCGAACAAGACTAGAAAACACAAAGGAGATGTTGGATACGTTTCTAAAGAGTTATTGCAAGCCACAGGATTCTGAAGAAAGGTTAAAAGAGATACGTTGA